TGACTTTTCTGAGCCTGTCAAGTCCTTCTTTTGACCCATTTTGCCAAAGGAAAGGACGTTGCCTAATAATTATGCACACCTGATATAAGGTGTTGATGTCATTAGACCACACCCCTTCTCATTACAGAGATGCACATCACCTAATATGCTTAATTGGTAGTAGGCTTTCGAGCCCATACAGCTTGGAGTAGGACAACATGCATGAAGAGGATGATGTGGACAAAATACTCATTTGCCTAATAATTCTGCACTCCCTGTATAGTATTAAATTAGTGTTGTTACAGTGTTGTGGGACAGAGATGCTTTTCATTTTAGGCGATGTTCAGGATACAAATGTTGAGGGATTCCCTGACTTACTCTGTCTTTGTGTCTTTGTTTAGAGGCAGAGCGACACAGATGGATCCAGTTCTCAGCCCTGTTGTCACTGTGGTGCTGTGAAACCGTTTTGTTGTGACCTTTGTGGAAAAGCTTACAAGAAGAAAAAAGGCCTGATATGGCATCAGCGTAGACACACTGGACAAAGACTGAACTACTGCAAACAGTGTGGGAAAGGCTTCCCCACTCCAAGTGCATTAAAGCAACATGAACTCTTCCACAATGGTGTGAGAGAGCACGTTTGTGACCAGTGTGGGTCATCCTTCATCACTACAGGTGACCTTAAAGTGCATAAACGCGTCCACACAGGAGAGAAACCATACAAATGCAGCCACTGTAACAAAAGCTTCTCACACTCAAGTAATCGTAACATTCACGAACGTGCACATGAGGAAGACAACTACATGGTTTATCAGCATGATCTTGCAGAACTGAAATCACTGGATCACAATGACTCTGAAGAGACAGAAAGATCCTCTTCTGGTTTCAGGGTTGGACTTAAAAACCTTGAGATCAGGCTCCACAGAGTTCAGATGGAGTCTCCTGTAAAGAGTGTCAGCTGATGTCACACTTGGATCTGATGAGCTAGCTCTGAACCCTGAATCTTAAATTAAATTTCAGCTGAAAACGGCATATCCAGAAGAACAGAATATACTCAATGATTGAGCATGCATCCAGACACTACTGTCTGTACTTTATTCTATTTCTGTTGCTTGTGGGTCTCAGTGAAGATGTCCACGAATGCCTCATGTTCACCAAACTAACTAATACTAAAACTAAGGATATTTCCTCTGTATTGTTATTGTTATTAAGTGCTCTATGGCAGAGAAGAGGGCTCCACTGAGGGCGCTGAAGGCTTCCCAGAGCGTCGTTGGCAGCAGCGTCCCCGCCACAGCAGACACGCACACCGACTGTTCTTCCTACACTGTAAACATGCTTCTTCTTATACTGTAAATACTCTATGTGGAAGTTGAGTGCAGAGCTCACTCGATGTAAATGCATGTGCTGGAATGACAATAAACACCTTAAACCCATGAATGTGCCTCTGTCTGCTCTGACACTCTTCAGTAAGCAGTGTTTTGCACGAGTGGAACGTTTGATTCCAGCTGGAGACACGAATCCTTTCACGCAGAACAACTTTAGTGTTACACTAATTTTTTTTTTCTAAAGATCAATGCTCATAAAAAAACTAAATTTAAATAATCAAATTAAGTTTAACCTCCTAAGACCCGAACTCTTCAATGGCATGCATTTTTGATTTCTCTTTAATATTGGGGCTGATTGGAACCCAATGAATGTAAAAACAAAGAATCACCAGATTGACTTTTTTTTTTACCTGATGTTTGTTTCTAAGAAAAATCAGCCACATATGAGGATATTCATTAGAAATTTTGATAAAAAGAGTGGCAGTATGTCCTTGTAAGTGGATATCAGGCCCTTGTAGAGCAAAATTTAGTATTTTGACCCAAAATTTGATGTCCACATAAGTGGACAGGAGGGCCTAGGTAGGAGGTTAATGTTCACTGTATTTCGGTTTAGTTCTGTTCCTGCATTGCAGAATGAGCAGCTTCTCACAAACATTTAATCTCACTTCATAGCTGTTCTGTTCAAATGACAGCCTCATTAATGAGGTGACAGCTCACCCGGTGGTTCTCCACTCTTATATGACCTGTATGATTCAACACTATAACAACACAGTGGACTTTCGGAGAACCCAGTCTGTCCCGTGCACATCAGCCACGATGCAGGACAGGAGAGAGGATCAACAGTGCTGATCTACCTGTACAGGTACAAGGTCAGGAAATATCTCTGCAGAGTTCTCACATCCCGGATATAAACTGCTTAAACTTGGGTGTTTTTTGCACGCAGAAGAGCATAGCAACAGGATCTAATTCAAACTTGATTTTCTACCTGGGATGTACGCTTTGTAGTCCATCTTCAGAACTTTGTAGTTTTCACACAGCAGCTTAACATTATTAATCGGTCTGACTCTCTGAGCACTGACTTTTCATTTCCTAACTCCTGTGTTATTGCAGGGTTTACCTTACAATATAAAGCGCCACTTTGACATCTTTGCTTCTTCCCAGGTGATTAACTGCGATTTTCTACCATGAACCACGTGGGTCTCTGCTCCCTGATCTGTTTCCTGTGTTTGGAAAGAGTTGCAGCTTCATCGCGGAGTTTCTCTCGGTTTGTGGGCTCATCTAAAGGTAAGCACCGAGCTA